AGAAAACATGATCCATTCTTTTTTTAAAATAAAAAATACCCTCTTGTAAGTTTTTTGTCTTCTTTTTTCAAGCCACTTCATTAAATAAATATTCTATTTTTATTTTCCCATAGAAAGGAGAAACTATAGCCTTTGGTTATTTCAATAGGAATTAAAGATTAAAGTGCTCAACGCTTTTAAACTGTTTCTGTTTTAATGAAAACATGGTTTAGTTTTGTTACTGTTCTAACTTTGGGGGCGGTTACAGGTTTAAATGAAGTGAGGTTCTTACGAGTTTGTCTCTGACGATGAAGACAGCCAGAGATGGGAATCGAAGCGATGAGAGATTGGAGTAATTTTTGCCGACGGGCATCGAAGATGATAGCGGGTGTGCATGACAAGGGCTGTTCTGCCCCTGGTTTCCGAAACCAAGCCAGCAGAAGAGAGCGGGGACCCTGTTTCCCTTTGAAAACCAGGAACAAGCCAGGGCTGCAGAGAGAGCTCTCCCCGCCATGGCAGAGGAGAGGGGACAGAGGGATTCCTCAGCGGCTGCGGGACAAACGCAGACCGCCTCGCCCCTGGGCAGAGGCGAGTCCCTCCGCAGTCTCACCGTGTGGATTTAATCAGTGAGATCCTTGCCACGGAGCAGTGACGCCGTCTGTCTGAACTTGTCACGTGGACTCTCGGTGAAGGCACATAACACTCAGGCACCAACTCAGAGCCCTGCCCTACGCATGGCTTTCTTCGCTTCCAGCTTGTGGAAAAAGGGAGTCGCCGGTGACGAAGGACACCGATGGCGAGGTGGGCAGCGAGGGTCCGAGAGTCATTCGGGGCGGGTAGCTCGGGGTCTTGCTGGGGCTGCCCACTTCCAGAATATTCCGCTCCGACACGGAGCATTCGTGTTTCAACCAGGGCAGGAGGAGAGGCTCGCTCGTGGACACGAAGAGAATGTTTATGGAAAATTTACAGAATATGTTGGGCTATTTCTGTCAACTACAGAGATTGTTTACAAAAGGAAACTGAAAATAAAATGGACTGCGCTTGCCAGCTTTTCTGGGAAGTAGAGTAATATGGTGACTATTGCCCTAAAAGGAGAAGCTTAGCTCCATTCCGGGTTCTTCCCTGATTTATTAGATACTTATAGGCTAACTCACCCACTTCTGTGATTTTTTTGTTCTTGTTTGCTTCTCAACAAGATGAAAGGTTGTATTTATTCTCATGGCCCTACAGATACATTGTGAGAATTAATAAGGTGTTATTTTTCAAGAGTTTCAAATACATGATGAGTTTGCTATTTTGGCAAATAAACTAAATACATGAGTATGTTAAGTCTGTACTCCACCTTTTTTTTTAATCACTAGCAGTTGTGTGGAGTTACTGGAATTTTTTTCATTTTACTTTGTTCTTTTTTTTTTTCAAACATCAAATCAGCAGAAGAGGTGGCTGATCTTGTTTTCACACGAAAAGGAAGAACAAGTCGGGGCCCCCTGTCCGCCTTGCAGACCCGTCTCGATACAGTAAACTGGAAATTACTGTAAGGTTTCCCAAGGGTATTTGCTTATGTCGTTCTTCCTTTCCGGGAAAATTTCATACTCCAGCCATCCATGGGTAGCCTGCACTCTGATGAAACTTACTAAACAGAGAACAGTGCCAAAACTTTAGAATCTCTACGAAGTCTTACACATGTAGGAAATCCAAAGGAAAGACAGGTGTTATTAAAAGTCTTCCAGATCAGGGTGGCAGGGCTGTCCCTGCGTTTATTTGCCATCCGGCCCTGAAAGCAAATCGTGCGGAGGTGTTTGTTGGGGCTAAGAGGCGGAAAGGGTCGTCGGTCCACTCTGGGCAGCACAACATCTGATTTCTAAATAGGGTGCGACCCGTGTTGCCGACAGTGTTACAGAGAAAACGTCACGGGGTCTATGTCATTATAGTTCGACAGTGTTTAATCTCATGAGAGTTGTAACGTCAGACGCCTGTGGTTGGTGGAAGTGTGCGCGGGACAGAAAACTTCCTAATGTCCTTCTGCAGGACATCGGCCGGCAGGGCGCTGGCTCGGCGCTCCCTCTCCTGGCTCCGGCGCACTGGCGAGCAGACCTTGCCTCCCGGAGCTGTGCGGGCGGCAGCCGGGGAAGTGGGGAAGAACCCGGGAAGCTGCCCCGAGGCGGCTGGTGTTCCAGCGCTGACCTGACTGCTACAACAGATCCATTCCCAGTGGGCAAGACCCTGTCTGTCATCCATGTCGAGTTTACCGTGTCCCTCAATACAACGAGACGGATGGAAACAAAACCCAGAAAACACATGCAGTCAGGTTGCCTCTACCCTTCTAAACAGCCTGTTCCACTACAATTTTATCATAGCAGGAGTGACTACACCACTTCTTGGCTTAAGTCTTCGTCTGTGTTGTTTTCTAGTGACGGTTTCTGGTTGCTGATGCTCTTAGCGGTGCCCCGGGCTCCTGGGGGAGGGGGGAGGATTTCAAGCACACCTTCAGTGCACGAACATCTGTGAGTCTAGCAGAGAAAGCCAATGCTGTTTCCACAGAATTCCTTATTATGTAAAGGCTTTTTAAATATGACTTCGAACTGGAAATCTCAATACTCAAATTCATATAGGATTTAAGTCTGGAGTTTCATTTCCTTGGCTTTGTTTCCCTAAAGACTTTAAGCTACTTCTTATATGTAGTACCCAGGAAAAATATCACCTTAAATCTCACAGATAGTTATCCTCACTGCAGCATTAACTACACGATTTTTACAATAAACATCTCAGATCCAATAGTTTCAAAGGAAACAAAAAGTCTCCTACTGATTAAAATGATGTTTTTCAATGACATGTCATATATCAGTAAGAATTGTAAAACTTCTTGGTACATTATTTCCATTTTAATTGGTGGCCGTTTAGCTGATTAGAAAATGGGTTAGGCTTGTTTTTGCAAAAGTATATATATGTATACACACACACACACACACACACACACATATTACACAATTGAAGGAATCTGGAATTTTAAAAACCCGACTGATTTGGGGGAAATCATATCACAAGTCCAGGTGAAGCAAACACGGTGAAATCGACAGCAGGACCCGTCACCTCTGGGACGCACGGTCACACACACCTGCAGGGAGAAGCCCACCTTCTGAACTCGCAGACTTGACCCGTTCTGAACTTGGCTTTGAATAGGACCTGCAACCTTGTATGATCCTCTTTCTGTGTCAACATCCATTTTCTCTCCAGCCGATCGGAAGCGGTGGCTTCTCATACCCATTTTTAAACCTTCCTTTTTACCCTTCAAAATTATTTTCTAAGTCAGCTCTAAAGGTGGAGTCCATCCCCTTTTAGGGCAGTGACACGTGCGGGTCGAGGACCACGTCCACGTCCGCAGGGTTCCTTCCCCGACGCGCGGCGCTCGCAGCGCTTCCAGCGGCGGCGTCCGGTCAGAGGCTGCTGACGGCACGGGCCGGCAGGGCTGCGTTTCCGAGCTGGTGCGCACGCAACGAGGGAGGAAACGGCCGCCGGGGAAATCCTGTTCCAGGTTTTCGGGCAGCCCGTGTGATTGGCACATGATATCACGGGGGGCGGGTCCTGGAGTGGAGGTGGAGGTGGAGGCCAGTTGCTGAAATTGTGCGGAGCTGGAGGGGGATCGCTCTGTAAGGCGAGCGGTGGTTTGCAGAGCGATCGCCGACAGAGCTCCCTGCCCCGGACGAGGAGCAGCCGCAGCCGCAGCCGCTGGAAATGCGCCTGAAAAGCAATTTCCAACCTTTGCATTAGGTAAGAGCCGTTTCCTTCCTTTCCTTCCGCAGACGTTTTAGGAAAGATTAGGTGAGAAATGTCGGCTTTTGCAAGGGACGGAGGAATGTTTCTTTGAACTCGTTTTAGATCTGGTTGCTGCAATTCCAATTACCAGTAGCCTTCCCACTGCTAAAACCAGTGCTCTGGAAGCAAACTGCTACCATTGGAGGGGGGGGGGGGCACCCCCGCCGAGGCCCTGTGATTACGTTCCCACCGTGCGAGCACTAACAAGTTTAAAGTCCGAAACGGCCGGCTGGGCGACACGCTGGGCGGTGTGTGCGGAAGAGGGGCTGGCGCTCGGCGTGCGGACCCGGGCGTGTCTGTTCAGGCATTGTTGGCGAAGCGATCGTTTAAAACCTGAATTTCCCGTCTCTGCGTATTGATTTCCAATGCGCAGAGGCGTCGCTTGAACGCTGTTTGAACTCCTAGGCATTCCAAAGGGGCAAAAGCACTTCGGCGAAAAAACGTGCGAGACTGCATGTTACTTTGGTTCGCTGCTGACACGCCGACTGCGCCCGCCTGTCAATCACAGCCAGCACCAACAGCCTGCACATGGCAGCGGGCGGCGGGCGGCCCGCCCCGCGTCCCCGCGCCTGGAAAGAGGGAAATTAATGTGTTTTTATCTGCAATCCTCTGTGGCAGGCACCTCCGCCGAGGAACAGGAGGGTCGGAGGACTGGGAGCGAGTGCCGGCCCGGGAGGCTGCCCTGCCAGGACCCGAGCGCCCGGGACGCGGCGCCCCACTTGCGCCGAGTGAGGATCCGGACAGTGCCTGGACCTGCACGGGGCCGGATTACGCCCCGCCTCTTCCCCCGAGAGCCCCGCAACCTCGCTCCCTCACCGCCCCCCTAAAAGAGCGGGTAGAAAGGGCCCACCCACACCCCCGGAGAGCAGCGGTCTCGGCCTAGCGGGCGTGCGCTCCTGGGCCCTGCTGAAGACGTCGGTTCGAGACCCGTCGCGGGCCGCGGAGGCGCGAACGTCCGGGACGCGGATCTTCGCCCGCCGCCACCACTGCCTTTCGCGGGAGAAGCGATCGGCACGGAGAAGCCCTGCGGCGCTCGCACGGCGCGCACTGCCCTCCCCGCCGCTCCCCAGCCGGAGCCCCCGAAGGGACTGCGTTCTGCTTCTCGGACGGGCTGCGGGGGGAGAGCCCAGAAGTGGATGCTGCTGAGCCGCGCGGCCGAGGCGAGCTGTGAGCCGTCTGCGCCGGAGCCGTGAGCTCCGCGGCCGGAAGGGGGCCGCGGGGAGCGCTGCAGCCCAGCGGCGGCGCGGGCCATGCCCCCTCGCCCGCCCCGCCGCGCTTGATGCGGCGCCCGCCCGCCGCCCGCACCGGGTCCTGGGCCCCCCGCCACCGCCGCGGCCTAGGTGAGTGTGGAGCGGGCGGGTGGCAGGTGCGGGCGCGGGCGGAGGACAACGACGCGGGGTCTCGGTCCCCAGTTTCCTGGAGAGGCGAGGCCGTGGCCCGGGCGTCCTCTTGGGGGACACCTCCACTCAAAAGGTGGATTCGAGGAGGCTTTTGGGCCACTCCCTGAAGGGCCAGGAGCCTTTTGACTTGTGCCGGCGTCAGGCTTTCTGTGGCGGAGTCGAGGTGCGACTGGACACCGCTCAGGGCCGTGAGCGCGCGGGGCAGAGGGGGGTGCGCGTTCGTGCGCGCGCGCTTGTGCGCGTATGTGTGGGTGTGTGCGCGCCTGGGGAGGCATACCCCAGAGTCCGCATCAACCCTCGGGCAGGACCAGCCTGCGTCCCGGAGCCCCACGGTCCTGCCCGTTTTGCCTGCGCGGAGCGGTGGGGAGGGCACGGCCCCTTTAAAGGGCAGCCCGCCCTCCGAGTCATGGACACCTCCGCCTCCGCCCCCAGCCCGCTGGAGCGGGGGAGAGGACTTGTTTTCATTCATAACTTTTTCCTTTTCCTTCCTCTCCGTCAACTATTTATTCAGCGCTCTGGGCTCGGAGCGCTTCGGGCGCGCTCCCCCGCAGGCCCCGCGCCGTGGCGGCGCAGCCGTGCGGCCCCAGACCCGCGCCTTCGGCCCGGGCCCTAGGAGGCCGCTGTGCGCCCAGGTGCGAACGGGCGCTGCGTACCGTCCGTCCGTCCGTGCGGCGGGCCGGCTCGGGACCTGGGGGCCACCTCGGTGGGGACACAAACAGGTTTTGGAGAATCCACGGCGATCCTTAGGACATGAGGGGCTTGTACGAGGAGGTATCGACTTGGGTCGTGTTTTCTCGGGGCGAACCGTTTGTCCAGAGCGTGGGAGCGTGTTGAGGGGTGGCTCGGGGACTGTCCCCGCGGCCCAAGGGGCTTTGCTTCAGACCAGAAGTGGGTCACTGCCTTTTCATCTGCTGATCGACCTTGCCAGGCCGTAGCGACTTGGCGACGGTCAGAGAAAACGCTGCTTACAGCCGCGGCTGGGCTTTTCTCTCCACTCTTCTTCGGCGCGTGTCCTGCCGAGAGGACTCTGCCTTGGTGCTTTCCCACACTCGGCCGTGGGAGCCGGGCCCCTTGGGGCTGCAGGGCCGAACCCAGCGGGCTGGGACCGAGTTGGTTGCTGGCACAGAGGAGGGAGAATCAAGCAGAACCTTGGGAGATCCGAGGGAGGGAGAAAGAGGGAGGGGACTCCCCGGAGTTAGGCTCTGAGACAGCCTGGGGACCCCTTCACTCTCGGTATTAGCTGAGGTGGGCTTTTCTCCGCTTGTATTCCTTAAGCTGGTGCTTCCGGGCTCAAGGGGGGGGGGCCGGGGGGAGGGCGGGGGGCGCAGAATGGGCATTTTTTCCTTTCGTGCTTGAAGGGCTCCACGCCTGTCGACGTCGGGAGGAATTTGTGTGAAAAATATCCTAGTTTACAACTGACCGAGGACGGAAACGCTTTTATGTTTGGCAGTTTGTGTTTTGAAGAATGCATTGTAAGTGAGCAGCCGTTTACTCTTGGTCAGGAAACACAGTTGCTCACTTTTATCAGGGTTTTTTAAATCAGTGTGCTGATTTTATTGCAAGAAGCGCAGGGATTCAGGGTGGGCAGTGCTTTTGAAAACCAGGCCCTCTGGGATAAAAGGCAGCTCTTTAAATGGGAGGAAACACAGATCATTGAAATGGCCAGGACTTCCCCCTGAACCGCTTTGAAGGGCTGACACTCGCTTGTGCATGAGAAGTTCTCCTGTTGCGTGAAGGAGCCCTTGGGGACACGTTGGAAAGTCCCTTCCTCACCCCAAACGTGAACACCCCTTCACGTGAACAGAACCGTCCGTGGGGTTGTGTGTGCGTGCCCTCCGCCGGCTGTGAACCCCAGCAACTCCTGCCTTCGTCTCTGTTCACTCTGCCTCTTGCACATTAGTAACGGGCGAGCGTGGAAACCCTGGTTGCCACAAAAGATGATGTCTTGTTTCGAGATTCCATTTTACTTTGCAATCTCTTTTCTAATGGACGGAGCATGCCCTGCCTGGCTTCCCCGCCGTTAATCTGACGCTGGTAACAGCAGGCAAACGGCACAGACACATCGGCGCCCGAGCTGGTTTTCCAGGGATGTGTCCCTCTGTGGGGACACGGGGTGGGGGCCGGGGGGGGGGGATGGCCCTGAGCTTTCCACTCCAGGGCCGGGGCCAGGGGTCCTCTGCACGGGCAGACTCCACTGTCATTGTTTGTTCGACTCCCCCGCAGGAAGGGGTTACTCCTCCTCTATTCCGCTCTGTAGAAGTTGAGCAACCTGATTTTCCTGGCCTGGCGGGGGGGAGCTCTTGCCCACATCCCACATTCTTCTCCCATGATGTGGTCCTCGGCCTCTCCGGGCCTGGAGCCCCGCCAGGCCCCCAGCAACCCCTGTCTTCCGCCGACCAAGGTGATCATTACCAGGTGCTTCGGGCCGTTTGTGACTCGATAGGGTGTGTCTGCCCCCTCCCCCCCAAATACTTCCTGTCATTTATTTTCTCTCTCTGTTTTTCTCCTGTTTGCCTGCTTTCCGTGTAGGATTTCAGATGCATGCCAGGTCCCCGCTGACGGCCCGCGTCGGAGACCACCACCCATGGATCCCCCAAACCAGCATGGCAGTGGCGGTTCCTCGGTCGTGACCCAGCAGCCGGCCCTGGCCAGCCGGCCGCGGCTGGACCGCGACAGAGAGCTTCCGCCCGCCGCTATTTTGTCCTTGGACCAGATCAAGGCCGTGAGGGGCAGCAACGAATACACGGAGGGGCCCTCGGCCGTGAAAAGGCCCGCTCCGCGCCCGGCGCCCAGGCCAGACAAGCAGGAGAGGACTCATGAAATCCTGCCGCTCGGTGTGAACCACAACTCCGAGCAGAGGCCCGCGGGCCACGCCCATCACGCCCATCACGCCCGAGGCCCCGTCCTGAGCCGGTCCGTCAGCACCGGCAGCGCCGCCAGCTCCGGCAGCAGCAGCAGCGGCAGCGCGTCTTCCGAGCAGGGGCTGCTGGGACGGTCGCCGCCGGCCAGGCCCGTGCCCGCCCACCGCTCGGAGCGGGCGGTGCGGACCCAGCCCAAGCAGCTGCCGGCGGACGACCTGAAGGGCTCCCTGAAAGAGGACCGGAGCCCGCACCAGTTCATCTGCGAGCAGTGCGGGAAGTGCAAGTGCGGCGAGTGCACGGCCCCCAGGGCCCTGCCGTCGTGCCTGGCCTGCGACCGCCAGTGCCTCTGCTCGGCCGAGAGCATGGTGGAGTACGGCACGTGCATGTGCCTGGTCAAGGGCGTCTTCTACCACTGCTCCAACGACGACGAGGGCGACTCCTGCGCCGACAGCCCCTGCTCCTGCTCCCGGTCGCACTGCTGCCCGCGCTACCTGTGCATGGGGGCCATGTCCCTGCTCCTGCCGTGCCTGCTCTGCTACCCTCCGGCCAAGGCCTGCCTGAGGCTGTGCCGGGGCTGCTACGACTGGACCCACCGCCCCGGCTGCCGCTGTAAGAACTCCAACACCGTCTACTGTAAGCTGGACAGCTGCCCCTCCCGGCCGCGGGGGAAGCCCTCCTGATGCGGGCCGCTGGCTCGCACCTCCTGAACCCCTCACTTTCAAGGTGCCACGGTGGGAAAAGATGCTGTTAGGTTCCGGCTTCCCTTCCTTCTCGGCGGGCCCCTTTCCTGCCGTCTCCACCCCTGTTGCCACGGCTGGCCTCGTGGGCGCCGCCGCCCTCGGTGGACGGGCCGTGGGAGTGGACTGGGAGGCCGCCCCCGGCTCCCGCTCAGGACCAGAGCCTCTGCCAGGCACTGGGGGGCCCGTGGGGAGTCAGTCACTGCTGGGTTCGTGCCGCCTTCCGGTTCTGCTGGCAACGCCCCCCCCACACACGCCCAGGCCACGGCGGTTTAGAGCTCTTTCTCACGGGGTTGCTCTGGGCGCAGGCGAATTGGCTCTTCAAGAAGCCGCCGTTGAATTGCTGAAATAAGCTATGTATCTCTCCAAGTAGGTCTGTCTGCGTAGTGTTGGACCCGTAAGTAGCCTGGGGCATATTTTTGTTGTAACTCACAGATTTCTCCTTTAACCACTGCCTTCTCGCCCCTCAAGAGTTCTCGCCTCTTCGTGTTGGCATCGTCTTATTCGAGAGATGCCAGGTATTATAATTATTATTGTTATTTTTTCTGTATGTAACGCTAGATCCACTCAACAATGTAAATCTTCACATTGGAGATATATTGTATCTTGCTGATCCTCATTCTAGCTTTTATATTTGTGAAGGACTCAGCTACCTTCCTTCCGCATCCCACACTTTTCACCAAATTTCTCCGGTCGTGGAGGGCCCTTGGGTGCCTGAGGTTCATATTTATAGCTGATCAGTCCCCAGGTGTCGGAGAAGGGATCTCGGCTCCTGAATGGTCCCTTCGGGCCCTTGGTTAGTGAGCAGCTGAGGGCGTCTGATCTTTTCTGCGTTTTCATGGCCTTAACCACAAATTGTGGTGCTTTTTGTATATTTTATGTATAAATCACAAAGTTGAATTCTGACTATTTTTAAGACAAAAGTCTGTTAAACTTTTTTATTGTAAAGAATATTTATTATGCGAATCTCTATTATTTTATGATATTTATTTCAAAAGACTGTTGAAATGTACTCATGTCTGAATATAACAAAATATCAATACATAACGGAAAATAAGGTGATACGAAGAAAGTACATATGTTAACTATAATGCAGAAATATATGAATTAATGAAACTGTCTTCTTGATTTCTTCATTTATTTGGCCGGTACTGTTTGGTGATTTTGGTTACTTGCTTTGGCTCTTCCTTCAGGCACAGCCATTTCGTTTCTTTCCCTTACCAGACCCAGTCTAGACACAGGTGAGCTCAAATTTTAAACTAGCTGTTTCCTGGAAACTGCAGTGAACAAATTAGTCATCCGAACTGTTTCAACAAATTCCTAAGCGCATCTCTATAAAGCGAAAATGTTTTGTAGTCTGTATAAACAGTCACTTCCACTCTGGCTATTTTGTAAGCAAGAGGCTCTGTGTGTGTGTCGCCGTTTCTTGGAATGGGACAGATCTAGAAGTTCATAAAAATATTTATCTTAACTCCCTTGGGTTAATCAGAAATTAGTCTTCGTCAGCAAAGCTTGGAAGCACTGAGTCTGTAGCGTGCTAGGAGTCTCCGGCATTGTCGCTGCAGTAAGACATCCTAGAAGTTACAGTGCGCCAAGGGAAGAGTTCGCATTATCAGAGAGTTTTGAAAAGCATTCCTATTTTAAAAAACCTCCTTGCCTACTTGTTTTAAAAGCACCCTGACCTTGTCACGTCCTTTAGTGAGTCTTTTTTAATGTTTTTTTTAAAGATTATATTTATTTTTAGAGAGGGAAGGGAGGGAGAAAGAGAGAGAGAGAAACATCAATGTGCGGTTGCTGGGGGTCATGGCCTGCAACCCAGGCATGTGCCCTGACTGGGAATCGAACCTGTGACACTTTGGTTCGCAGCCCGCGCTCACTTTATTGAGTCTGTAATGTGGCCTACTCAAGTGGTTTTTCATCACGCCCTGTGGGGTAAGGAATCTGCAGACCTGAAACTTTATGTAGAAAAAGCAAATATTTTTGTTTTGTAGTCTGCTAAAGCCAGTGTATAGCTAGTATCGTTGGGCCCGATAACAGTCTGTTCAAGGGAATCCTCGGAACAGCTCTCGCCACCGACCCGGCCTCCGGGACGCGAGAGACTGCCCGACGGTCTGCGTTTCAGAGCGACGTGGTGATGTAACTGGAACCCGGGATTTGGTCTATCAGAACTCTTATCCAGCCGTTGTGTGTCGATTGGTGTCTCTTAGAACAGGCCTCGGTTTTGTTTTCATCAGACAGGGTCTCAGTGGTAGAAGTTTGCTTTAATGCTGCCCCTTCAAGCCCCCGAGCCTCTAAGTTAGCACTGTGGCGTTTGGCCAAGTGGTTTCTCTGGTCTCTGGATGGATGTGCTGGTTCTAGGGGCTACTGCAGCATCCAGTCTTTCAAAGTGTGGACTGACGTCCTCTCGCACTTAAGTTATGTGATGTTATCACCAGTCCTTTAATACTGAGTAGTCCATTGAGATTTGTCTCCTTAGCAAATGCCATGTTCAAGGTAGAGACTCCCTCAGAGCACTGTGTTATTTTTTTCTGTCGTTATTCGGACCCGTGGTGTGATTGGGAGCTGGGGTGAGGACTGTCTGGAGTTCTAACAACCAGACGGAGAAAGCTGTAGTTCTTGTTGAGAGAAACATGTCCCTGTTACGGGCATGCAGTCCATCCAGGAGCAGTCCCTCCAGGCGGTGGGTGCGGAACGCAGCCAGGTAACGGGATGGCGGGGGTCTGCCTCGGCGTCTGGCCCACCCTTTGGAGCAGTGAGAGGTCAGAGGTGCAGACAGAGACAGGCCCGTCAGGTGGCAAAACAAAAACACTTGGATTCAAAACTTCCTCCTTTGTGATGGCGTCCACCTCGAAGGAAAAAATATTAGGATGCATCCTCTTAAGTGCTTTTGAATTGGGGGCTCTGGAAGGTATCCCCCAGGCTGAGATTTCCCACAGCACCACTCGCCATGGATGTGGTCCGCCCAGTGAAAAACCACGTACCAGAGACATGGGCTGACCTCCTCTCTGGTCCACATTCGTTTTCTCCCTCGACTACTGCACCTCCCCAGAAGGACCCTTTCTGAAGTTTCCTGCCCGTTTTTCTGACTGCCAGTGTGTTTTCAAGAGACTTTAGTTGTGAGTCACACCGATTCCGACCGCTGTCATGGACTAGTTGCCTGTCCGCGGTGTGTGCGAGAGGCAGCCCAGCGGGACCAGGGAGCGCGAGCGGGCAGAGAACGCCCCTTGTTGGTGAAGGCTGGAGGTGAATCCCGAAATGGCAGCCCGTCGCAACGACTCTGTGGTTTTCAGAGCCCAACCCATAGAACGTTCCAGCTGCAGCTGAGACAAATAAAAGTGAAAACACAGGGGTCTTCAAAGTGAACGGAAGGAAGTCGGAAACGAACTGTGTTTTTACCCTGAAATTGCTGTTGGAACCGGCTCAGAGGACTTGTTCCTAGAAGACTGGTTTAATGTTTGAAATTGTCTCCTTTTCTTAACTCTTTTTTTTTTTACATAAAGCATTACATTTCACGGAAGGTTTTAGCTGTAGCTCTTCAGCAAAAAAACCCCTAAACACCCCCTCGTTGCAACATTGACACACACGCAGTGCTCATCTGAAACTCTGCACTGTACAGACTTTGCTATTGCAAGAGAGTTTGGAGCCTTAGAATCTCTTGAAAAGAGATTCAAAACAGTTGGAGGGCTGTTTTTTCCATTATTCCACCGTTTAGATATAATCGAAATAGCGACGCACTCCGCTGACAGGTCGCTGATTCTTCCCCTAGTCTCTCAGGCTGCCGCCCAGCCCCGTCGCCCCGCTGTTCTGCGTGCGGACCAGTGCGACAGCCGGGCCTGGGGCTCAGGGTCCGCCTCGCCTGACGCCCCCGCCGCCCACGGGAGACGGTTCGGAGGTCTGCGTCACCGCCTGGAGGTCGGACTCCCGGGAGGAGGAGCTTCTGGCCCCGCACTCCGTACTCCCCGGGGATTTTATCGGCGGTTTCCAGCAGCTGTCTCAGCGCTGTGCCTCCATGTGCGGGGTGTGGAAACCGAGGCCTGGCTGGAGCAGGGACCTGCCGGCGGCGGGGGCACAGAGCCGGGCTCGCCCGCGGGCGGGCGCGCCAGCATTTCCTCCGGGTCCGGGCGGCGGGGGCTGGGCTGCGCCTTGGCCTTCGGCACGGCGCCCTCTTTCCCGGGGGGCTTTCCCGGGGGGCTTTCCCTTCACAGCACGTGTGTGTACGTACCCCACGGTCAGGGAGCGCAGTGCTTTTCTGCGCGTGTTACAAGCCCTTAGCTCTCGGCAACAAGCAGCCAGCGACTGCGCTGCCACGAGTACTTTTCGTGTGTTCAAGTCCAGGTTCGCGGCCCCATGGAAAACAGCACGTGCGCCTCCTGTGGCCGGGCTTCCACGAGCACGGGGGAGGGGAATCGGTCTGTGGAAGGGAACCGGCATCCAGATTTAAGAACTCCAGGGCTGGTGCCTCTGGCCGTTATCCCGGGGTCAGTGCGGTCACTGAGGAGCAGGTCCGGACGTCCTCTTCGTCCAGGTCTAAAGACCCGTGTTTTCTTCCAGGCGGTGGAGTAGCCGGGCGTCGGTTCTGACTGCAGGGACTGCCTGGGAATCTAGACCTGGGTAGTTTGGGCGGAGATGCCAGAATTCTCCATCGTTCACCCGTACTCCAAGAGTTTCTTTTTTAAAAAAAATATTTTATTTATTTATTTTTAGAGACGGGAAGGGAGGGAGAGAGAGAGAGGGAGAGAAACATCAATGTGTGGTTGCCTTTCATGTGGCCCCCACTGGGGACCTGGCCCTCAACCCAGGCATGTGCCCTGGCTGGGAATCGAACCTGCGATGCTTTGGTTTGCAGTCCGCGCTCAATCCACTGAGCTACGCCAGCCAGGGCCAAGAGTTTTTTTTGATCAAACAGTCACGGAACGTACTTTTAGCGCTAGAAGGAAACCTAACCTCCCTTTACTTCGTCTTTAGCTGAGCGATGAGAGAGCCAGGTGCAGAGAGGTCACTCGCCCAAAGGCAGGGTCTCGGTGCCGAACGTAAAATAAACTTCCCGGAAGCCTGTGGGCCGCCCACGGACACGGGGTAAGCGGCTGGAAGGGAGGAGGTGCTGGCGTGGCTGAGCGAACTCAGTCTCGGGCGAGTTCACGTCGTAAAATTGAACAGATCTGTGAAAGCGCCGCGGACTCGCGGTCGCCCCAGCCGGAGACTGCGTGCCTGCGTGCCGCGGAGGGAGTCGGAGGGAACCAGCCGAGGGAGCTCCTCGCAGGGCCGGGAGTGAGGTGCACGTCGGGGAAGCCCGAGTCCCGGTTCGGTTGGCACTGGTCCCCGGCTCCGGCTGCGTGGGCGACCACCGGGGAGTAAAACACGACCACACGCTGTGCCGACGCCGACGCCCCACCGCGCCAGCCGGCCAGAGCCCCCGGGCTGGGGCCTGGGTGTCGCTTTGTCCGACAGGCTCCCCAGGTGGAGCCGATCAGAGGTGTGTGGACCCCTCCACATGGGGCGGGGGTAAAATGGCAGATTTAGAGAAAGAAACCTGGAGGTATGAAGGACCGGAGCCACCTTGGAGGTTGGGGGGGGCTGGGAGGAAGGGGTCAGGGTGGGAACTGTGACCGAGGGTCCCTTCTGCAGGGCTGGGCAGTTACCTGCGTGTGGGCTGGAGGTAGAGGGAAGGACTGCAAATGCACTGAGCGCGGGGACCTGGCTGAGCCTGGGGCCCGTAGTGTCTTTGCTGGAAGAGGTGGTGGAGTTTGTTGAGGAGGCACACGGGACGGGAAAGTTGAGTTCTCTCGGATGCACCGTTGAAGTGCCGTGAGTCTCCAGCTGGTTGCTGAGGAAGAAGTCTGGAGTCCAAAGGAGGTGGGCGGCGGCCTGTCATCCTCGTGGGGGTGACACGGGAAAGGACAGGACTAAAGCGGCCCAGGACTGCACCTGGAGGACCACACCTGCCTGCAGGGAGCGGAGGCAGGAAGGGCACGGGGCCGGCAGGTGAGGAGGGCCCTGAGGAGCTTAGGCCCCGGGAGACCGGCGTGCCTGAGATCGGAGGGTAACTCAGGGTGGAAGCCAGTCACTAAATATCAGAAGCTGTGGAGACTCCCAGCTAAACCTGGTGGGTGGG